TTTGGTTATCAGTTTGGTTGCTGTTGGTATATAGCAGACCTATTGATTTGTATATATTAATTCTGAATCCTGAAACTTTGCTGAATTCATGTACTGTTTCTCATACACTGTACTTTAAAGTACAGTTCTCATAAACTGTACTTTATATTACAAATTCTTGCATTTGTAATATAAACTGTACTTTATATTACCTTATATGCTTGCATTTGTAATATAAGTATATTTATGTTATAAAGAAAGAAGGTGGGGGAAGACAGAGAGGGAGAGAGAAAGGGAGGAAGAAAGGAAGAGAGGGAAGAATAAAGGGAGGGAGAGAGGGAGGGAAAGAAGAAAGGAGGACAGTAGGGAAGGAGAGAAAAAAGGGAAGGAAGGACGGAAAGAAGAAAGAAGGGAGGCAGGAAGGAAGGAGAAAAGAAGAGAAGAAAGGAGGAAAGTACAGAAAGAGAGAAGGAAAGAGGAAAGGAAGGAGGAAGGAAGGAGAGAGGGAAGGAGGGAGGGGAGGAAGACGGGCAGACAAAAAATGGAAGAAAGGAAGAAAAGAAGGAAAGAAAAGTAAAAGGGAAGGAGGAAAGGGGGAAGGAAGAAAAGAAAGGAGAAAGGGGGGATATTAGCAGTCAGAATGGGTGTGCCATCCCAAAGGAATTACGGTCAGTCATGTGAAATGCTACACTGTATATGACCCTGGTTTGTAAATCATACAGCTCTATAGCAGTATGAAGAGTTAAAGTAATTCTCACAAGCAATTACTTTGAGATAATCCGGCTTCATATTTGAAGAAAGACATTTCTCGGTTTACACAGGTCAGTCCCTTAATATAGGAAAATCCCATAGTTGTCATAGCTCACCCTCCAACACACACACACGACAGGTGTCTATGATAATGCAAACAAAGAGAAGCAATTCAACCCCAGAACTGCCACACATCAGGTAGGGAAACTAAGTGCAGAGAAAAATGTATCTCTAAGCCAAGCAATAATTAATTAAAAGGACAAGAAGACATATAAGCATTTTTCCCCCTGAGGTTTATGTAGACAAAACTAGAGAAAAATGCAAGTATAAAATATATTACATTTCAAGCTAGTAAGGCTCGCCTCAAAACTTTTTAAGAGGTGCTGGCTGCACAAATAAAACTGGTGAGTGAGTCGGCCTTGGGAGAAAACAGTGTTTCGAAAATGGAAAGAGAGTGGTTCGGGAGAGGATCGACTGGGCCAGCAGCCTTTTCCATTAACAAACCTAATTTATTTGGGAAGCGAATTTATCCCAGGCTTTCTTTTTTACTGGATTATTGTCATTTCTATTGGCTTTCTCTGATCTCCACTTTTTGCTAAGACCTCAGATTTGCCAACCTTGGTACTTTTCAGAAATGTGACCTTCGTGTTAATAACTGTGCACCCTCTCAGTATATTATCACTATCTTTGTGTACCTATGATAGGTTTGCACAGGCGAAGTCAACAGCTTGTATCTAAAGGGGCTTCCAGAGGAAGATTCCAGCTCTCAACCATCATGGCTATGCATACAGTGTGGTAACTAGAGGCAGGGACTCAGCCTCACCCAGTCTGTAAAGGAATGAAAAATTAAATGTTCAGAGCTGCTCATATAATCCTTGAACTTGGACATAAATACATCAAAGGTTTGGAAGAGATCATGGTAAGCCGTGAGAACAAAACTCAGATTTGTTTATGACACCATCCCAAAGCAAAGATCTGAAGGGTGCTTTCATTTTCCAATTCAGGGGCTTCTGACACAAAGCCGATGGTGAAATGTATCCACGTATCCAAACCAAGATGGTTTCGCTCAAACAGTGAAGGGCATCAGCCCGTGAAAACTACATCAGTTAAAAAAAAAAAGTCTCATTTAACTTGCTGCAAATCCAGCCCATTAAGTTCCCCTGTAAAGTGGGTTTATGGAACATGTGGAACTTGCTGGCTTCTTGGGATATTACAAAGACAGATTTTTGATGGAGAATAGTATGCACTTCTCCCTATTTCATACTTCAGATTTATTATTTTCTCCTTTTAAAATATTTTTTGCAGAGCAAAGTTTGGATTAAGCCAAAACCTCAATCTTTATATTTTATTTCAGAACATATTGTAAGTAGACACCTGAAAGTAAATTTTAAAGCACTTGTTCTCTTTTAACTAATCCAGAACAAAGAATTTAAAATAAACTTTCCAAGGCGCTTATCAATTTCAAGATGTACAAAAACTTTTCAACACATGAAAATCTTACTTTTAAATATCATGTTATTTACATCATCAAGAAATACATATTCAATATGTTTTTCTTGAACAGCCTAGTTTTTCAGATGAAGTATCACTAAATTTAAAGCAATAATCCTATTGTTAATCCAAAACAAAATTACAATAAGAACATTACAGTGTCTAAACATTCTGGAAACAAGGGAAATATCATATATTTATTGCACTTTTTCTGACTAAAGAGTGAACCTATTGCTTTAAGTTTAGAGTGACTTTACCTATGTCTGGAGGTTGAGGAAAAATAGAGTCAGTATATTATTTGAAAACGTTAACTAATAAACCCTTTGAAATAAGTTTATCCTCTGTTTCCAGACTTTTCAGACAGCTTGTATATTATTTTGGCTCAGATAGCATTTTACATACTAATGAATTACATACGGGTTGCAAAACCACTGCCCAACATTAGCTAAAGACATGAATGTCATACTCATCTACAGAGAGAGGCTGACTAGGGCCAGGGGCGGAGCGCAGACCATCTCTGAACGCTCAAGCTAAAAAACAAAACCTCGAACAAAATTAGGGACCAACTTCCTCCTGCAGAAGCTGGTTTTTAATAGGCACATGGTTACCAAATTCGTGGGATGGCCAACAATATATGACTTAGGTGTTGACGGTGAGCTCCAAGTCAATTACTCGTGCGTTTATTCCACATACACACTTACCGAGCGCCTACCCTGGTCCAGGCACATGCCAAGCATCACAATGCCTGGGAAGCTGTGATGAAATGTAGCCAAATTCTCAGCACAAATGCCCTTGCTCTGAACATTCGAGAGAAGTGTGCACAAGAGGGGGCCATGCACATGAAACACCTAATAGAGGAGCCTGGGTTTCTGGGGGCACCTCTTGGGGCACCCCCTGTTGTTTGCTGGCCTGGAACCAACCGTAGGAACCAGACAGATAACACCCTTTGGTTGCCTCTGTTCAAGAAGTGAGTCCCAACTCCTAAGTCATACACTCCTAAGTCGTACACTCACATTAGCATAAGCATCCCACGTCACTCAGATAAATGTGCATTCAATTTTAATCCCTGATTGGGTACACGCCACAAATACAGACTATTTTATCTGGTTAGATTGTAAATGATCAATACAATATGACAATTTAGTTGCAGAATATCAGCTATATTGGATTGCTACTACAACTCTACCAGGGCACCTCAACCCAATTCATTTTCCAACCAGATGTCCCTTCATAACCAGATGTTCAAACAGACATTGAAACATAAGCACACACATCTCTGGAGCTGTGCTCACTCACTCAGGGTCACACCCCATTCCTCCTTCAGAATTTTCCCAGGAAGTATCTCAGTGTCTTCCCCTCCCTGAAGCCACCTCCACCCCACACCCTCCACCACCATTATCCCCACCGAGTCACCATATACCAGTTTGTAAATACCAGAATGGAGGTCTGAAATAAGTAACCGTCTGAGAGCTAAGCCTCAGAACCATGAATAAGCTCAATCAATGTAAGGGAGAACGCCAGCCACAGAATCATCCACACGAGTCCTGTGTCCTTCCCGCTCCAAGCTGACCCCGAGTATCACAACCAGGTTAATTTCCCTAATCTGTGAGTTAGAATTTGGGTTTAGTTATGTTGACAACAGTCAGCGCTTCTACTCCATAAAGTGTCGAGGGATTCAGGTTCCTTCTGCGCTGATTTTCTGCCCCCTTCAAAGTGCTGCTTCGTTCACAGCCCTCTGCACCGTCCGCACATCTGAGCCACCAGGAAGGAAGGGTGGGGACCTGGAGAGCCCGTCCTATTTCTTTAAGGGCAAAGCATGGATGTGCTCGCATCATTTCTGTTCACAGCCCCTTCCCGGGAACTTAGTCACATGGCCACACCTTGCTACAAGACAGGCTGGGAATAAAGTCTGCACTTTGTTCAGCTATGTGCCCAGGTGAAAATTCTATTGCTATGGGAGCTGAAAGAATGGATGCTGGGGGCCGGGCATGGTAGCTCACTCCTGTAATCTCAGCACAAGGCGGGTGGATCGCTTGAGGTCAGGAGTTCGAGACCAGCCTGGCCATCATGACGAAACCCCATCTCTACTAAAAATACAACAATTAGCTGTGCATGGTGGCAGACACCTGTAATCCCAGCTACTCAGGAGACTGAGGCAGGAGAATCGCTTGAACCCAGGAGGCAGAGGTTGCAGTAAGCCAAGCTTGTGCCACTGCACTCCAGCCTGGGCAACAGAGCAAGACTCTGACTCAAAAAAAAAAAAAAGAATTAAAAAGAATGGATGCTGGGGAGTAAGCGAGAGGCTCTGCCACGCCAAAATACTTCATGTGTCTCTGCTCAAGATGCCTGTCCATGTGGCACACACTGGGGCCAACATCCGTGGCACACACTGGGGCCAACATCCGTGGCACACTGGGGCCAACATCCGTGCCACACACTGGGGCCAACATCCGTGGCACACACTGGGGCCAACATCCGTGGCACACTGGGGCCAACATCTGCTTGCACTGCAGTCATTCCGGAGCAGACGGTCCTCAATGATCCAGCTTTCATCACCAGCTCAGGCCCTCTGCAGCCTCTGAGACTACACACTCCACAACCCAGGCTCACCGTGCCTCTTCCCCTCTTACAGAGGCTGAGTCAATGCCCCAACTCCTCCGTAAATCTCTCCCTTCTTACTCTATCCCATAACACTCTTCCTCCTCTGAACTCCTCTGCCTGGGTTACCAGCCCAGTCTCCATCCCCTCAGTCATGACAGTGGATGCCATTCGATGCTCACCCTTATGCCCTCAGTCCTCAGCTTCCAGGACCTGTGGAGAGCATCCGTCTACAAGAGCCTGCTGTGCTCCCTGTGAAGGCGTCTCATGATCTGCACAGCAGAGGCCAGAAGGGCTGAGGAGTTAACGCTCCCAGGAGCAACTCTCAGGCAGTGAAGTGGGAGAGAGCTGGAAGATGACTGGCCCACCTCCCTCACCCTCAGGCAGACGAACATCAGCTTCCGTTTCATAACATTTCCCAGTGTGGCCCGTTGCCCACAGTGCCAGTGAGCCTTGGCTGACTTCCTTCCTTTCCCTGTCTCATTTCTGTCGCTCTCCTTCCTAGCCATGCTTCCTGGATCACTCCTATTCAACTAGTAGTCCTCAAATTCTTGCCTCGGTGTCTCCTTAGAAATCTGTATTAATTGGGGTTCTCCAGACAGTCAGAACCCAGGTGGGGGACATGGGCCATTATAAGAAATTGGCTCGCACAGTTGTAGAAGTCGCTGGAGGCCCAACAGAGCCAGTGGTGTGGGTCCAGTCTGAGTCCGAAGGTCTGAGAACCAGGAGAGCAGATGGCCTAAAAAGATGACAGGAAAAGAACCACGCCCCAGCTCAAGAAGTGAGGCAGAGAGAACAAATCCCCCTCCTCTGCCTTTTGTTTTGTTCAGGCCTCCTCAGATTGGATAGTGCTCACCCACTTGGGGGGTGGCCATCTGTTTTACACGGTCTACCAATTTAAATGCCCATCTCATCCAAAACACCCTCACAGAAACCCCCAGAATAAAGGTTAGCCAAATATCTGAACTAACCTGGTCTGGTCAAGGTGACACGAAATTCATCATCACAAAACAACTAAGACAGTCACGCCTCATCCTCCCTACCCTCCCTAGAGTTCTGGACAATGCAAATGCCCCCATCTCATTGTGCCATATCCCCAGTGCCTGGCACACACGCAGTAGGTGCTTCACAGATGTTGGAGGTTCGTCAGAACTGACTATATTTGCATGTCCATTTTCCCTCTCTGTTCTAATGCCAGTGCTGTAACTGGTTAGTTCAACACCCAGTCTGCTGAAGCAGGAGCGGTTGCTGCCAACTTTGTCACTTATGGTTCAGGCAGGTACCAGCCTTGTCATAACCACACAGTAATTAAACACGAAAGTACGTTTCCCTGTGCTTTACAAAGCATAAAGCTATTTGTTTTGGTTTCATCACCAACACTTCATTAAGCAGCAGAAGAGTTAGGTTATCTACTGAACCGATTTTGTACTAAGCTTTGTTTACTTTCTGTTCAATGAACATGCTAATTCATTGTCATAAAATTCATAGTTTACGTAAAAATCCATTGTCCCCTAGTCTACCAAATGTTAGCAATTCAAAATGTACAGCAAATGGTTCCATTTAGAGGGCACACGAGTGAGTACTGAGAACGGCCATGAAGCCCGGAATAGGCTTCTCTTCCTCCTTTCTCCCCTCCCTGCCTCATACGCCCATCTTTCTTCCTTCTCCACGCACAGAGAGACGCTCATAAAAGAGAGAAATATTTCCATCAGGCACAGCAATGCAGAAGCTGCATACTGTTTGGATTTGCACAGTATCATTTTTGTTATCTCCCCACGTCGTTTATAAAAGTTTTGCAGTTGTGTGTGGGCGTATAGGTAAAAATTTTTCGAGCATTTTGAATTCTATAAAATCCAGAAGAAACTTTGCCAAATCTATTCCCATCTTGCTTTTTAAACTCATACACATTTAAAGGGATATTCAATACTTTTGTTTTTGACTTGGTTACTCATAGGCCATTAAAGTGTTGTCTTTTAAAAGCTATTTGCTATTCAAGGAGCCTTGGGAGCCCATTTTACGATCCTTTTTAAGTCCTTTTTCTCTGAACAGGAAGTTGCATTTTGCCAAGAGTAAGCACACCAAGCAGAGGGAGGTAGGGCTGGGCTCTGTGAATGGCTGAGCGCTCCATCCCATTCCTCCTGTGTGTGACTCTCACAGGGTGAAAACTTGATCAAGACCATTAGAGTGAGAAAGCAATGTGACAAAAATGAGGAGCTTAAATACCAGCCAAGAACCGGGCTTTTCTCTGGGTCTGAAACTAGAGATGACCAGAGAAGACATGCCTTTCTCAAAATCTGGAGAACCGTCCTCTCTGGGGAGCGCTGTCACACCTTTCCTCACACCTCTCCGAGCTCCTTACACTGGCTAACGAGTCCCACAGCGTGTGCCCACCAGGGGCCATCTGATTTTCTCACTCCTCACTTGTCATTTCACTTTTCATTAGCAGTAATGGCAGTAATGGCAGAAGGAGCAGCTCTCCTTCTCCACGTGGCAGGAGACGCCATCCTGGCCAGAGAGAGAGGAGAGAGAGTTGGCTTTTCCTTATTTTCTTGCCACTTCCTGTTAGCCAAGATCTGGACTTAAGGACAATGCATAACCACGCTGGGTTGGTTTCTTAGAGCTGCCATGACACACTGGCAAAGACCGGGTGGCTTCAAACCACAGGTGTATTCTCTCAGGGTTCTGGAAGCTAGAAGTCCAAAGTCACGGTGCCAGAAGGGCCGTCTGCCCTCTGAAGTGCTAGGGAAGGGTCCTCCCTTATCTCTTCTCATGGTGTTGCCAGCATTGCTTGATGTTTCCTGGTTTGCAGATGCATCACTCCAGTCTGCTTCTGGTATCACGGGGCCATCTTCTCCCCGTGTCTCCGTCTTCTTATAAGGATACCAGTCTCACTGGATTTAGGGCCCCCTAGGCCGGTATGGCCACATCTTAACTAATTACATCTGAAAAACAAACAAACAAACAAACAAAACCGATTTTCTATTACCAAATAAGGTCACATTACAAGATTCTAGAGAGACATGAATTGTGGGGCAAAACAACTCGAACCTGTGGATTCCCCCTGCTGCCCCCACAAGTGCACGTTTGTCCCATTTGCAAAATACTTTTATCCCATCCCAACTTCTCCAAAAGTCATAACCCATTCCAGCATCAATTCTAAGTCTAAAATAGCATCTAAATACCATCAACTCAAAAGCCCCAGATCTCACCTTCTGAATAGGTATGGATGAAACTCTGGGTCTGTGCCACAATGGAGCAACGCTCCTCTCCATCTATGCACCTGTGAAACTGGAAAGCAAGTTACCTGCTTCCCAAAGACAACGGTGGTCAAATACGGGAAAGCATTTCCATCCCCAAATGGGTGAAAGAGACAGAATAAAAGAGTCGCTTGTCCCAAGCAAGTTCAGAACTCAGCAGAGCAACTTCTACTAGGTCTAAATAATCCTCTGTGATCCCATGCTCTGTCCTCTGGGCCTGTGGATGTCTCAGCAGAGACCCTCCCAGCACCACTGGACAGGCGAATTCCTTTTTGTGGAACCATAGAAGGGTTCTACACAGATCTTTCTGAGCAGCCCAGCCCTGTTCCTGGCGTCTGCTGAGATGGCTGTGTAGACCCAGTAGTCACGTGCCTAATCTCTTCCACCAAAGGCTGTCCGACCTCACCCTTGACTCTTAGCATTTCTGGCAATATGGACAGGCTGAGAATTTTCCACATCATCAAATGCTGGTTCCTTATTGCTAACAGTTCCTTTCTCAAGGTATCTCTTTCCTCCCCCATTTTACTATAAGCACAAAGGAAGAAATCAGGCCACAGTTTGCTTAGAAATTCCCTCAGTTACATATCCAAGTTCATCACTTCCTAGTTCTCTTTCCATCCAATGGTAAAACACAATTTAGCCAAAATTTCTATCATTTTTTAAGAGGCTCACCTTTCCTGCAGCATCCGATAACTTGTTTCTAATTTTATTCTACATTCTCACCAAAAGCACCTCTAACGCTCACATCTCTAGCAACGTTCTGATCATGACGACGATATGTGTTCTCCAAGACAATGGAAATTTTCTCCACTGTCCTCTTCCCTTCCTTCTGAGACCTCATCAAAATTGCCTGTATTTATTGTTTTGAATAGACTTAGTAGGTACAAGTGCATTTCTTTTTACCTGGATGGATATATCGCACAGTGGTGAAGTGGGCTTTTAGTGAATGTACCCATTACCCAAATAGTGCACATTGTATCCAACAGGTAATTTCTTATCCCCAAAATTGCCTTTAATATCCATACTTCTACCAAGTCTCTTCTAGGCTTTTAAAAGCATGCACCTCAAGTTTCTTTCAGTCACTCCCCATTACCCAATTCCAAAGCTACTTCTGCATTTTTAGAAATCTGCTATATAATGTTATATATGTTGTGTGTTTGATATCGTTTGGCTCTGTGTCTCCACTCAAATCTCATCTCAAAATAAAATCCCCACTTGTCCAGGGAGGGACCTTCTATCCCCACATGTGGAGGGAGGAGGTGATTAGATCATGGGGGCAATTTTCTCCATGCTGTTCTCGTGATAATGAGTGAGTTCTCACAAGAGCTGATGATTCTATAAGTGTCTGACAGTTCCTCCTTCACATGCTGCATTGTGAGGAAGGTGCCTGCTTCCCCTTCTGCCGTGATTGTAAATGTCCTGAGGTCTCCCCAGCCACAGGGAACTGTGAATCAATTAAACCTCCTTCCTTTATAAATTACTCAGTCTTGGGTATTTCTTTAGAGCAGTGTGAAAATGAACCAATATAGTGTTGCATATTATTTATTAATATACACACACCCACTCCCACAAAGAAAGAGAGAGAAGGAGATATTTATTTGAAGGAATTGGCTCACATTATTGTGGGGATTGGCAAATCTAAAATGCGTAGAACAGGCTGGCGGGCTGGAAACTCAACACGGAGTTGATGCTGCAGGCATGATGCAGAAATTCTTCTCCGGGAATCATTCGGTTTTGCTCTCAAGGCCTTCAAATGATTGGGTGAGGTTCGCCCACAACATCCAGGGAAATCTTAAAAGTTAACCGCATCTATAAAGTACCTTCACAGCAATACCTAGATGTGCATCTAATTAAATAATAGGGTACTATCTTCTAGTCAAGTTGACACATGAAACCAACACACATTCCCAATCTAATGAGATCCCCAAGAATTAAAATCATTTGTCTAGGTTTTATTGATCACTACTTATTTTTAAGATTCGACTGGCCTAAAATGGAATTATTATGTGAATTTCAGAGCAGCAGAATTACTTTTCCTATCAAAGTTCAGAGATGAATACAATGGAAATAGCAGAATAGCACGTGCACGATGGAAATAGCAGAATAGCACGTGCACGATGGAAATAGCAGAATAGCACGTGCACGATGGAAATAGCAGAATAGCACGTGCACGATGGAAATAGCAGAGTGCACGATGGAAATAGCAGAATAGCACGTGCACGATGGAAATAGCAGAATAGTACATGCACGATGGAAATAGCAGAACAGCACATGCACAAACAGCTTACCTGTCCTGGCTTCTACAGCCTCAATAGGTAAGTGGATTGAAGAGCGGTAAGAGAAAGGCCCTCCTATCCAATATGCAATGGTAGATTGTTTGTACTCAATCAATAAAAGCATGAGCCATACATACAGGAAAGTACCCTTGAATTTTTATTTATTATTTTTTATTTTTTTCTTTCTTTCTTTCTTTCTTTTTTTTTTGAGGTGGAGTCTCATTCTGTCACCCAGGCTGGAGTGCAGTGGTGCAATCCCGGCTCACTGCAAGCTCCGCCTCCCGGGTTCAGCCATTCTCTTGCCTCAGCCTCCCGAGTAGTTGGGACTATAGGTGCCCGCCAACATGCCTGCCTAACTTTGTTTTATTTTTTATTTTTAGTAGAGACGGGGTTTCACCGTGTTCGCCAGGATGGTCTCGATCTCCTGACCTTGTGATCTGCCCGCCTCGGCCTCCCAAAGTGCTGGGATTACAGGCGGGAGCCTCCGCACCCAGCCTGATTTTTTTAACTTGGCTTTTTAAACAAATCTTTATTTCCCCTGGTTACAAAACAGTGTGCTCACTTTAGATAATTTGAGAAAGGCAAGGAAGAAGAGAAGAAACATCATTTATAATTCCACTTCAGACTTAGCCCTTCCTAATGCTTTAATGTATTTTTTCAAGTGTGTTTTGCTGAATATGCCTAATATGTTTACATGTATACATATATAATCCAGAAATATATGTGGGTAGACACAGTCATGCACACACCTTATGAAACCTTACATTTCTGGTTTAGCGATCTCCTTTTTCTCACTAACAATTATCTTTACTTTTTTGTAAATTTACTTATTTGTGGAGAGATTAGATCCTTCACAACATCCAATGAGTATTAAAACCCATACTCTAGAACAGATGTCCAGAGACTATTAAATAAAAATTCATTTTTCATTCAAAGTTGCAAGATTTAATAAGATCAGCAGATTTACACACAGAAACCTCAACTAGCCATGTGAGTTTAGTATGTTCATCTCCACAAGACTGTGGCCTCTCACTGTCACTGAGGCACATTTCCCACAATTCTGAGCTTGCTAGAAGGATTAGAGTCTGTATAGGAAGGCATCTCAAACTCTAGTTTCCACGACCAAGGTAACCTCCTTGTTTAGATACCCCACATTCATGTTCTAGGCATCAAGTTCGAGGATAGCTGTAATATTACTTAGCAACTATATACAGCAGTAACATGACTGACTACAAAACAATCTGACGAAAAACCTAATCACTAATTAGTCAATAACTGGTGATTATCCACTGATATGTGAAACAAGGTCATTCCTAATGGATTTTAAAGAATCACAGCATCAAGGGCCATGAATCAGTTTCACCGAGCCTAGAAACTGACAATGTGGAACTCAAAGCCTCTCATCTTGTCACTGAGCTTCTTGGAGCCATAAACGGGTCTGAATACGAGGCCTCCCAGCGCCATGGGGAGCGCTCTTCTTCCTCACCTCCTTCCTCACCTCCTGCATTTGGAGGAACACACGTCTCAAAATACATTCTGAACAAAAGGGTTCCATTGCAAAGTAAGCCTAGCAGCCTCTTGGGTTGTTAGCATACTCGCCTCCTAAGAGATCCCCAGTTAAATAAGCTTTTTTAACCAGCGTTTTCCAAACCTCCCTTATCCCAGAACCTAGAGCCCCACAGCTTGAGAATTTGGGGTAAGGAACTGGTTTTGGAATTTGCACATTTAGCAGGAGGAGAGGGTGGAGATTTAGTTTCATCTTTCTTTTATAGTTTGCTATTTTAATGACCAATTCTTCCACAATCAATGTAATCAATCATGCAGTCTATGCTTATTTACATTAATGACAGAAACTAGAGAGAGAGATAATTCAAAACAGCAGGTTGTTAAAACAAATAACAAAGAATTGGCTTTGGAGTGAGTTGTTGAGCTGATATTAACTTATGATGAAGTATGGCTGGCTGGGCCAGACAGTGGCCCCAACACTCCAGCAAGCTCGAGGCCTTGTGAGCCACCACGGAAGATGGTGGGGTCTTTACACCATGTGGCCCCACATACAAATATGCACAGGTCCTTTATTCCAGGATTCAGACAGAACACAAAAGCCTTGATATGAAGACATCACTCAGGTAAAACAGAAGAATCTATCTCTCCCAATCACTCCCAACAGTCTGCTCCAGACTTGGTAATACCACGTCTTTAAGACAAAACCAAGAATGTCGCTGCTGTGCTCAAAAAATTCACTCACTCTTTTTCTGCTTTACAGAGTAAAGGCGAAAATCCGGCGTGGTTCTTAAGGCCCTCTCACATCTGACCCAGGTCCACATCTGGCTCTGTTGTTTCTCCACAGGGAAGCCTCCGTCACCCCTGCTCTTTCCTTCCCTAGTCCACTTGCCTGCAGTGACTTTC